AATATAGCTACATCTGGCTAGACTATGCAGATACAGTTAAAATATAGATACATCTGGCTAGATTATACATCTATAACAAAATCCTTCAGCCAAAAGCTGAAAACAACTTTGCAGAAGAAATTCAGTGCCAGTTTTTAACCACAAGGGAAACTCACTGTTGTCCTTCACAAACTGTTCCAGGGAATGATTTCCAGTTCTTTGATATCTCTAAGTCAAAAGACATTTATACACACACACCCATTCAAAAAAAAAGCTCCACTACTCCCCCAAGCACGACCAAACTCAGGGAACAACTCTGCAGCACAGAAAATCACCCCCCACGTGACAGCAGAGCCCATTGCCTGTGGGTTTATAACCTGAGCCCACATCCTTCACACATGAAGGGTGGCCAACCAAGGGCTGGCTGTTGCTAGAACAACAAAAGTTTGTTTAATGCTGCCAAGGAGCATAGAGCTGTCCAACAACAACCAAACCACATCAGACCACAGCAGTGGTTTACTCAAAAATGGTCTGTCTGTTGAAAAGAAAGGCTACTGGACTAACTAACCACAATATTATTTCTCTTTCTACCCACTGCACCTCCCACAGAACACAAACACTTTTAGGTGCAAAAGCACAACAGAACAGGTTCAGCCTCATCCTGGGTGTGCTAAAGCATCTTCAAAGGGAACAAAAGCATCACTCAGCAGTGGAGTTCAGCCCCAACCAACCACTCCCACAGCACAACAGGAATGTGGAAATCACCTGTCAGAAACACCCCCCAGCAGTTCTGGCTCTTGCTTGTACAACAGCATCACACAGATCACACTCTAATGTTTATTTGTTTAGCGGGAAGAGCACAGGAAGGAGTTGTTTCCTGCTTGTCCAGCACCTGGCCCTTGCTCAAGCACATGAAGCAGAGGTAGCAGGATCTCAGCTGCCCCTCCCAACCTTCCCACTCACAGGGAGGACACTTTGAGGCAGAGGAGCACGTTGGGCCTTTCTACCTGCAGGTGGGAACAGGAGGAGTCCAAGAGCAAGAGTCCAACCCACAAGTGTCACTGCCAGGCAGACACAAACCCCAGCACCAACCACACCAGCACTACATCACCTTGCCTTTAAATGACACCATTACCACAAAAAACTCTTCTGAAGTTTCTAACTACACACTGGAGTGGACAGTCCTTGGAAGGCAGTGGAGAATTCAGAAAGAAAGTGGATTGTTCAATTATTTCAATCAGAGTCAAGTCTAAAGGATTGTCACACAGGATATTTTACCTACCTTACACCAGCGGACTAAAATACCCCCAGGCTTTTCCACAAACTCCTCCAGCTGCACAGGTGGGCGAGATGCCACAGTTCCATGTCTGAATATCTGATTTTTCAGTATGGTAAGGAGGCAGTCATCCAGCTGGGCAGACAGACAAGGCACATCAACCAAGGAGGGCACTTCTGGTAAGCTGAGAAAGGAAAGTTTGCTGTAATGAGAGGGGCCAGCTCCTGCAAATCCATATTTCATCCATGCACTCGAATCTGGGCAGATTTGCAAAGAGAGAACAGCTGCAGAAATTGGCTCGTGCAGTCCAAACTTAAAAGACTCAGCAAACACTGTGTTTGAGCCCTAACCAGACTCTGTTTCTCAGTAAATACTCTGCAACACAGGCTGTTCCACAAGGAGTGGCTTCACCGCTCCCAAATAAACAGCCTCTATTTCTACAGAGCATATGGAGGGTGAAAACCACTCCATTCTGTGAGTGCCAGCCCCACTGAAAGTCTGTGAAACAAACAGGACAGCAACACTTCCAATGAATCTTTGAAGGCAGTGGAGCAGAAGGCTTTTGTTGCAGAGGAGAAAGGATGCCCTGCACAAGCAGGGCACATGTGCTGCTGCCTCAGATCACCTCAGGGTGTCGTGTCTTACCTATCTAGCTGGATGTGTAAAGCTTTTTTTGTAAAGTTGCAAAGTTTCTCATTCTGTTGTCCCACATCTCCATCGACTGCACTCTCCCCTGCAACCAAACAGTAAAAATATTCCTCATGAGACAACGGCCACAAAAGGCATTCCTTGCTTCAAAGAATAACCAGTTCTGACATGAGCAGCCAATTAAACATGGAGCATCCTCAGCACTTTTGCTAGTCTTAGCTAGAAAATGCAATTATAGTTAACAACATAAAGCCTATCTAGCAACTTTTGAAGCTCTCAAAGCTCCCCGTAGACACACCCCATAACAGACGTAATAATTTGCCTCAGGTCTCAGACAGTAGCAGAACTGGGGTCAGATGCTAAAAATCAGGGTTATTAACCCCTTCCTCCACCTGCTTTAAAGGAAGAAAAAAGCAAAGCACTTTCACTGATCAGAAAATAAAAAAGAAGTGCTTAAAAGCAAGGAATAGTTTCAACCATTGTTTGCTAAAATTAAAATGGTAACTATTGTCATGGTGAAGGGAGTAATCCATGCATTAAAGCGTGGGGATAAACAGAAATATTTTCCTGAGCTTTCCATATAAAGTAGCATCCCACACTCAGCTTACAGAGACATGTGCTCCAGTCTCCAGTCTGATGAGTTTACAGTAATTCACAACATCAGCAAGCTCAGTCCTTCTCCTGATGGAGGATCACACACGTTACAAAGCTCTGAAGGAAAGCACACGTCACAGTTGGCAGCAGGAGGTTTAATAACCACGGAGGTTTAACTCCTTTCTGACTCAGCTGCAGCGTGAGCCCGTCCTGCCCACAGGGTCAGGGATGTGCTGTGCAGGGGACCAGGGCATGGAAGTGCAGAGTCAGTCAGGTTCTCATGAGACCTCACAGAACTCACATAAAACACCAGCAATCTTTGCCACCCTCCTGACTCAGTAACCTGAGACTTGAAATAAAACCGAGGTGACTCCCAGCTGTCCCAGAGCTGTGGTGATGGACAAAAACCCCAAAAAATTAATCCATAAATGCTGTCCCTACTCCTGTGAGCAGGCACAGAGCTCCCAAGCCAGCACACACAAAGTTGGAGGCTGAGGGGAGCTGGGAGCTTTCCCACCCCTGGGACACAGCTCAATGTGCCTCAGCTCCAGGACTGAGCTCATGCTGAAAGAAAGTTAAAGTTGAGACATGAGAACAATGCAAGGAAACTGCCAACACACTCATGGCTCAGACACGCTCCCAGCAAGTTCTGCAGAGTGGGGAAAACAGGCAACAGGGACATTCCTTTCTGCAGAGGTATTCAGCACCAGCGGGGCACAGGCTGGCCCTGACAGCAATATTCCACATGTCCATTTGTGTCTGCCTCGTCCACAGACTTTTTGGAAGAATTTTCCCCATACAGTGGCCATTTCATTCCTGATGTTCCCCATCCACAGTGAACACAGTCACACCCAGCAGGATGATCTGCTTGTTTCAGTAAGACAGAAACAACTTATCCACCAACAGAGACACTTTGCTGTAATGGTACCCAAGGTGTATTTTATTTCAAGGTAGCCTGACAGAATCCTCTGTCTGTCCTGGAGAGGCACTGAACATCTCTGCAGTGAGACATTTCCCCAGAACTTCCTGCCCTTTAGGAGAGGCTACACTGACACATGTACACCCCAGGACTGGAGCGAAACATTAAAATACAGGTTTGTAGGAGACAACATTGATCAGCTCTTCACCACATCTACCCAGCTTGAACCTTTCCCCAACATATGGTTTGAGAGAAATCCAAAATGAGCCAAATACACTGATAACAACAGGAACGTTGCAGCCTTTGACAGACACACACTGGGAGGCAGAGCTCAGGCCCAGCCCCAGGTGCTGCCTTACCTTCCCGGAGCAGATCATCGGCTGTGCTCACCCCGTGCTCGATCAGCTTCTGGCACTCATCCAAGGGCTTGATGCTCTCCTGCTCTATGACATCCACCTCCTGCAGCAGGGACAGCAGCCTCTCATCCAGCAGCTTCTTCAGTGTCCCTTTCAAATCGTTAAAATGTTGCTCCAGCACATCCCTGGTCAGTGTTGCACTCTCTTTGATCTGAACTCAGATAACAGGAGAGAAGGGTTCAAGATAAAGGCAAAGGCCACACACATCTTTTCCTGAACTACCTCATCTACATCTGCTGGAGAAAAGCTGTTGAGTGAAGTCAGCCCAAAAAAACGACCACTGGCAGTTAACAAATTAGTGCAGTCATTTTTAGTACACACACAGCAGGGAGGGAGGCAAAGAAACCAGCCTGGAGGAGGGGAAGAGCATATTAACTAAGCAAAATACAAACTGGGTCACAGGAACTTCAACAAAGGAGTTTTTCTTGTCAAAAAAAATCCAAATGCCCTGTAGGTCTTCTCCCTGCTGCCCCTCAAAAAAAACCCACTGCTGTAATCCTACACTCTGCCATCACATACTCCGTGGAAAGAAAACGGTATCAGGCTTTTAGAAGACTACCCAGGAGCACTTTTCCAGGCCCTATAATTTTTTAAATCCTCCTAAAACTGCCTTCTTTTCAATTTTATTCAAATATCTGCCTTTGGGTGAACACCAAGCCTGGTTTGACTCCGGAAGAACCAGACCACAGAAGGTTCTACAAGTGCTTATTAAAATGGTTGCAAACTTGCTGAATCTGACTTTTAGGGAAGAAAATACACTTGGAACGTCCCTGAGCCAAAGATGCAAAAGTCAGGGGTAAACACCTCCCTATGAACAATTTTTCTAAGTCCCACACACAAGGAAATTCTGCAACGTGCTCAGATCTCACTACACATAATTTAGAAGCACAGACAACCAACACAGGAAGCTCTCTGGTTAGGTAAAATAAATTTCCTCTTCAAGTAATATTCATGAAGCTGCCACACAGCTCGGTTTCCCTTCTTGTGTTATTTCAATGCTTGGGGGTAAAAAAGGAAGTATTTAGCTTTGTGAAGGGGTGGGGTGAAGGAAGGCAGAGCAGCCACTTCTCTAAGCCCATTACGGGCAGCTCAGCCCCAAAATTAGATACTCCTCGCCCTGCAAAAGAGGAAATGCAAGTCCCTGGACACACAGAGCTGTGGAAAATCACGTCCCATTGGTCCAGAGGAAAAGGATGCAACGGAAGCGATCCATTCACATCGGCCCACCCGCCCCCAGATGATAAAGCTCCCACCATCTGAACCCCAGGGAACTCCTGGATGTGTGACCCTTTGTGGACAAAACAGCCCGTGGTCCTGAAGGTGGAAAGAGAGAAAACAGAAGAGTGCACACAGCAAAGGAATTCCCCCTGAGAGGAAAGGGAAAGGTGAGGTAACTGCACACCCACAGCCACTGCACAAAGGGCTCCCTCTCAGCTCCCTCTGAGCCATCAGGCAGCACTTTGAGAGGACAAGGTTTGGATTAAAGACAGCCATGCACAGTTCATTTTCTTAAGCAGCCTGTGGTTTCAACAGTGACTAATTTAATGCACAGTGAGCACCCACACGCACCCGGGGCAGGGCACTCCCCCAGCACACTCACAGCAGCTTCCTACACTAACGGAATCTGCTCCAGAAAAACTACCAGGGCGCCACAAAAACATTCTCTGACCTTGGTTTTGTTTGGGTTTTTTTGATTTACTCCTTGCAGAGCTGAATCAAAGATAGTAAGGCACTGCTCCCAGTCTACAACCCCCCGAGTGCTCAGGGGCTGCCTCGGCAGAGGAGCCAGTCCTGCCGTGTGACTCTCCCTGCCCACACCTGCCTATCTCACCCCGCATCTCCCGCTGGTACCGTCCCAAGGAAAACCCTGCCCGGCTCCAGCTCAGAGCCGCAGACGAACCAGCCAACCTGGAATGTTGGCAGCGCTCGTGCCTGACCCACGGAGTACGTGACCCACGGAGAGCGGGGCATGGGGACAGCACAGCTCGGAGGGCATCCCGAGCTTGCCCTGCTTGCCCGGTAGGGACTTGATGTGACGGGATGGTGATGGGTGTATTAAATCAAACTCAGCATCCCAGCTACTTCAGAAAACGTACTCCTTTATACAGCGTTATTCTTGCCTGGGAAACCTCCCTATAATCCCAGACAACGAGGCTCAGCGCAGCAACAGATACCAGCTCACACCCCTTTCCTCCCGGCACTTCCCACATCTCCCGTTCCCGCATCTCCCAGCTCCAGCATCCACACGCGGGTCCCGCGGGGCTCCCCCAGCCCCGGCTCCCACCGGTGGCTCCGGGGTCATGGAAAAACACACGGCTCGGGATGGGAGCGGCCCGGGGTCCCCGGTGCTCCGAGGGAGTCCCCGGTGCCGCCACCCCCCCCGGGGGCACCGTGCGGGCACAGCCGCGGGCAGGGGAGCCCCGCACAGCCCGTCCCGCTCCCCACCTGCTGCCGCGCCTGGTGCAGCCCCCGCAGGCGCTGCTGCAGCTCCCGGCGGTAGCTCCGCGCCGCCTCGATGCTCTCCCGGGCCTCCTGCAGCAGCAGCAGCCGCGCCTCGGCCTCGCCGGCGGCCTCCATGGGCACGGCGGCACCGGCAGGCGGGACGGGCGGGGCTCGGCCCCGGAAGGGCGGGGCGGGAAACGGGAGCGGGGCGCGGACCGGGGGGTGACGTCAGCGGGGCGTGACATCAGCAGAGGGTGTGACGTCGACGGGGAGCGTGAAGTCAACTGGGTGTGTGACGTCGGAGGGTGTGACGTCGGCGGCGTGCAGTCCCGCGTGACGTCACGGCCGCGGCGGGAAAACCCGACTGACAGCGGGAAGGGAGAAGGGGCGTGGCTTCGGCGAGAATGGGCGCGTTCTCTGGGAGGAGGGGCGCGGCCTCGGCGGAGAAGGGGCGTGGCCAGCGCGCGCCTGCTCTTCCGCGCCGTCACGTGGTCCTGGCGGGGGCGGGGCCCGCGGCCGTTGGGCCGCGCGCGCGGGATGGGCGGGTCACGTGGTGCCGGGGCGCGCGGGCAGGCCCCGCCCCCGCCGTTTCCGCGCGGACGCTCCGAACGCGGTCCCGCGCGCGCGCTTTTTTCCCTCCCTGCCCGGCGCGCGCGCCCGCGAGGCGGCGCCATCCCCGGGGCAGGGGGGTCCATGGCGGCCGCGCGCGCCCCCCGGCCCTGAGGGGGACATGGTGGGCAGGGTCGCCGTGGCCGCCGCGGCCGCGTCCCCGCCACTGCTCCTCACCGGCGACGACGGCGGCGCTCAGGTGGGGACGGGGGAGCGGGCCCGGGGGGGGCGCGCTGGAGGGCGAGCTGGCGGGGGCGCCCCTTTGGGCGTTCGCCCCTTGGCCGCTGGCGCCTGACAGGGCGCTCCCGCTGTTCCCGCGGCGTGTGAGGGGCCGCCCGTGCCCGGCCCGCGCCCCCGGGCCAGGGTTAGAACCCCCCCGGGCCGGGCTGTCATGGATCGCCTCACGGGGGCTCCGGGAAGGGGCGTTTTCCCCCTCACAGGGTGGGATTTCGAGAGTTCGGTTTGTAATAACCGAAGGGTTGTAAAAGGCTTTGTGAGCCAAAGTCTCCCTTGGAGCCGTACAAGTGAATGCTCTTTGATCAGAGATCAAGATACAGGGAATTCTACCTAAAGAGATCATGAGAGTTTGCGAGATTAGAATTGTCTTTCATTCATTTTCTTTAAGTACTTGAAAGGTCGTCTTAAAATGAGTCAGATGTTCACGGTAGGATCAGACATTTTTAAGAGACGTTGGAATTCCCTTCTAAACCCCACAAAGCTCTGGGGAACATCCCGAGGTTACCAATGGGTCGAGCAGCTGAAGTGACTGAGACTTTCAGAGCTCCAGTACTGTGGAATCTCTGCAGAGCTGTTCTGAAGACCTTGGGGTCCCTCTCAGTTTTGACCATCTCAAGGTTTCAGGATGGGATTTTTATTTATTTGAAATGGCAGAATCTTTATTTCAAGCTTAGATGGCTTTTGAAAACATGGAGATAAAGTTGATGCATGCACAGTCTTAGCCCGCTAACAAGTTTTTTTCTTCTGAAAAAGTACCAGTGTCATTCATCTGTATCACTGTACAGCTTTATATTGCTGTACTAAGTCACCTTAAGTTTTTTAAAACCGAGATTCATGTTGTGCTTTTTACAGCCATGCAAGAAACGACGAGAGGAAGATGCTTCTGTCAAAACCATCACAAGGTATTTTTCACCATTAGCAAAACCAGTGGATAAAGCTTTGTCATCACCAAAACCCAACAATATTCTGGATTATTTTAAGAAGACATCTGTAACTGAGAAAGCCACATTGCCACTTGGGGATGGAGAAGATAAACCACTGCTGGATGTTGATGACAAAGACTGTAAGTCAGCTTTTAAACCATCTTTGAAGCGAAAGAGAAAAGGGAAGAAAGTTAATTTAAATCATAAACTCAAAGAACCTGAGAATGACGATGAAATAGAAATTAGTAGTGATGACATCAGAGTGGCAACAAGACTGCAACAAGACAGCAGTGACTTTATTGCTACTTGTACTCTAGTTGACCAAAAATGTGCAAGAGAATTAGCAGAAGATGATGTGGAAAGGGAGAACTTCTCAAATGCTGTCCTCTCCAGGAAAAATGCTAAAAACGCTGCTTCTGAAACAAATGGGTCAAAAAATAGGATAAGAAAATCAAGGAAAAGGAAGCACAAAGTAAATATGGATTTGTCTGAAAGTTTTTCATCTGAAAACCAGATGAATGAAACTTGTAAAAAGGAAGCTGAGGAGAAGAAAAATACAGTAACAGAGAGTGATGCTGCTCCTGGTGATTCCAGTTTTGAGGTTCCTACGGATAATGGGACATCACAGGTAAATAATTGTATAATAACAGTGTCATTTGAGGACTTCTTGAAGAGTCAGGGAGAAAGCAATGCTGAAGAAGACACAAAGCCAACAGTGGACACTGGTGCTACAACAAATGAAGTGGACAAAAGTGACAGTGTTTGTGACCCAGAGAAGTGTGAGGAGTCTCAGCAGCCGCCACTCAGAACAGTCACTGTCCTGGCACAAGTTCACTCCATTCCCCCCAAGTTACCTCCGTTACACAAAGGGCAGAAAGGCTCCAGGAAAATTGCTTCCATTTTTTTGAAGCAGAAAGGACGTGGAGGGGAGAAGGAAAGCAGCCCACCCCTGTTGGACTGTGAGCAAACTGAACAGGTGACTCAGAAAAGGAAATCTAATGTGGTTATTGAGGAAGAGGAGCTGGAGTTGGCTGTCCTAGAGACTGCAGGGACGGATTCTCTGAAGCCAAAATGCACCCTGGAAGAAAAGCATCAGTTCATGAAGGCCTTTAGACAACCAACATCAGATGTAACAAAAAGTGGAGTTAAAAAGGCACCTGGGAAACAAAAGCAAGCCTCTGCAAAGCTTTCCAAAGAAAAAGAAGGACCTGAAGATGCCATTCCTTCAAATAAACGATTAGAGAGTGGAACACCAGAAGATCATGTGGACAGATACACACATTCTAGTCCTAAAAGCAATAGAACTAAACCCAAAAGATCTAGAAAGGTTCAGAAAAAAGGAAGCAAGAAAAGAAAGGCCTCAGAAACTAAGGAAACTCCTGTCTCCAGCACCAGCAATTGTATGGGAGAAGAGGATTCGGGTGCTGACTTTCTTACTGTGGAAAACACCCCAGATGTAATAATTTTATCAAGTCCAAAAGTGAATAAGTTAAGGAGGAGTTTAAGGCAGCAGAAAATCCAAACATCAACAAATATTACACCTAAAAAAGGCAGGATTAGAACTGCCCCTTCTGCAGGTGAATTGAGTCCACTACAGGCTTCTACCCCAAAGGCAAGCAGACAATCCTCCAAGAAAAGCAGCATGTACAGAGCTGAGGTGATCACTGTGCCCTCTGATGGAAACAGCCCAATAAGGTAAACTTTGTAGAGTATATTCCACCTTTTTGCCCTTTAATTTTATGCAATTATTTTGAAAGTAAGACATAATTATAAAGTTATATAAACTTGCATGGTTGATCATGGTGGAAAAGAATAGAGAAGAGCCAAAACTGATTATGAATTTGTTTGCACTAAAGACATTAAAAAAACCCAAACAACAACAACAACAAAAATAAACAATTGGGGGGTTGCTTCTGTTTACAGCACTGTATTTTTAAAGGCTTTTGAACATGAGGTGGACAGTAACATTTCCCTTTATTAAATAGTAATAATGTCATAATACCTTTTCCTTAATTAGGATGAGGTTCACACGTATCAGTGCGGCTACAAAATCAAACAAAGCTGAAGCAATGAAAAATGAAGAGTTTCACTCCAAAAATACAAAGGTGATTTATGTAACAGTTTGTGTTTCAGTATTTTATCATTTCCTCTGTGTGTATAACTGTGTTCTTCTCATATTGTGTAACAGTTTAATGTAGTGCAACATGACAGTTCTGAGCTGCCCTGGGGAAAGGGAGCATTACTCTGATTTATGATAGAATTCCAGATAGCTTCTTGTCCCTTAGCTTTTAAAACATGTTATATTAGTACAAATCTGCTTTTCATAACAGAAGAAACCCAATAAAAATGGCATGTTGCTGTGCTGCAGGATCTCAGGGTGGGACACAGGAATGCCTGGCTGTGGCACTCAGTGCTGGGGTTTGGTTGCCAGGGTGGTTGGAGGTCGGTCAGTGGTTGGACTTTGCTGATCCTGGAGGTCTTGTCCAACCTGTGACAGTGTTTGGGCACAGCAGAAAGAATGTCACTGCCCATATTTCATGTGTTCTGTGGACAAAGGGCCCTTGTAGGGCTCTCACTCCCTTTTGAAAACTTGATACCATCTTAGTTTGCTTCTCCTTTCAATTATTTTCTCTCCTTTTTGATACCAATGACATTTTGTTAAAATTACACACTTTAGTGAACACGAAAAATTATATTCATTTGCTAAATACTTAGCAAAGATATTATTATTAATTGCTCTTTTGGTTTTCCTGTTCTTTGTTAACAGATAAACTCTGCTTCTAAAAACAGATGCAAAGCCAAGCAGCTGGTTGAGAAAGCCAAGGCCATACAGCAGAATAGATCAAAGGGGCACCAAGACTCCCCAGCTCCTGTGAGACGCTCGTCTCGCCAGAGAGCTCTTGCTGAGAGGAGAAAATCCCAGGACAGTGATGTAAGGCTTTATATTTCATAGGGCAAGAATTATTCTGATGTGTTTGTGACTCATTTAAGCAACAAAAATGATTCTTGGCTTGCAAGCATTTCTCGTAAAGAATCAAGTAAGGTTGATATCTATGCAATGTGTTGTTAATTGAGGAGGAAAAGTTGTGTTTCCTTTCTTATTTTGTTTGTTTTCCCCCTAGGAATCAGTAATAATTTTAGATTCCTGTGTGAGTAGTGTCACTACTACAGAGCAGAGTGTGAAGCCAAAGAAACTTCGGAGCTTAAATGATGTTTTGGGGAAGAAGTCTAAAAACTTGAAGGTTGTGAAGAACTCAAAAGGTAATTGGGTTTTACTGAATGGGTTTGTTTTTGTTACAGTTATTGACTACTGTAACTTTGTTTTATAAAGCTGCCTTTGCAGTGCATTCATATTTCATTCTGATTTTTTTGGTACAGTGTTCCAATATACACATTTCCT